ATTTTCTGTCAAGCATAAACTGAAAAAAAACATACATAAAATGAATTTAAAAAAAAAATTTTTTTTTATTCAACTGTACTAAAGTAGACGATACTAAAATGTCAATAGTAATTGTATTTATTATTGCATATTACTAAAATTATTAACTTTTTTTTTTCTTAACTTCCTGTGGGGACAGGTAAAATTTTGACGTTTTCAGCCTTAAAACCACTTATATGTATATGAAAAATTATAATATTAGATACAAAAGTAATTATTGGTTTTTGTTTCTAAACATATATAGATAACCTTTTTACGTTGGAATTGTAAAAATATATGAAAATTATTTATTATTTTTTCATTACAACATGAAAAAAACCAAGTTCTGCGCTACGCGGAGAATCACCCAAGTATAAAAAATGTTTTCAAAAATTTCAAAATTTTACATATTTTTTGATGAATTGCTTTTAAACTCTCTATCATTGAGTATTACATGTTATTTTATTGAGACTTACTTTATAAAGAGACTCTTTTTTAAGTTCACATGTTATATTATATTACTAGCTGTCGTACCAGTCTTTGACGGGTTTTAGTTTTTACTAATATATAATTATAACAGAATGTCTACTAACCGCGCGGAAAAAAACGGAGAAATAACCAGGAATTTAATTTGACCAGGAAAAACAGGAATAAGACGGTAATTTTATGACAAACCGGGAATTTTCTTTCCAAATTAAAAGAGTTTTATTATATTAATTTGTTTTTAAAAAATTCATTTTTACTTTAATTTTTATTGATGTAATATTTATGTAAACAGACCCAAATTAAAATTTAATCCATGCGTTTAGCCTACAATACAGATTTCATTTTGCTTTTAGCAATTTAGGTTTTAGATCATGATTAGTCGGATTATATGTGGACGTCCACATGAAAAGGGCCCATATTGTCGGTTCCAGTTTTCGAGATAATCCCAATTTAGTAATTTTGGAGCAAACTCTTAATTTTTTTTTTATTTTTTATTATCAATCTACATGTTTTGACAAGTCGAAGTATGCGGTTTTCATTAATTTATCGATAATTTAACTGTTTGCTTTCATTGGTTCTTTTGACAAATGAAAAGGGCCCATTTTGTCGGTCATTTGCAAAAGTAATCCGAATTTTAAAAATGGAGGTGTAGAAAAATTTAAAACCTCTTGATTTTTCATCTCTAAAGTGTCTTGGACTGTAAACAATTCTTATCAGAATAACTTCCGAGAAGAACCAGAGATATTAAAGTTAGAATCTTTTTTTTGTAATTTTCGAAATGAAAATTTGGATATTGCGTCAATTTTTTCATAATAGAGACTGTCAAAAAATTTTTAATAAGTGTAATATCTATTCTTTTTCTTCAAATGACACAATAAAATTGTACCTAATCATTAATCTTGCAAAAAAATGGTTTTTTAATAGAAAAATTCTCCTTTTAAGAAAAGGGCCCATATTGTCGGTTTTTGGTATTTTCAAAATTAAGAGGGGGCGGATGGTTTTAAAAATTTAAAACCTATTGGTTTTTAATCTTTTATAGGTACCCTGTACTGTAAAAAATTCTTATCTGTATAACTTCCCAAAAAAATCAGAGATATTGATGTTAGAGTCTTTTTTCGTAATTATCGAAATAAAAATTTGGATATTGCGTCATTTTTTTCATAATAGAGACTGTCAAAAAATTTTTAATAAGTTTAATATATATTCGTTTTCATCAAATTACACAATAAAATTGTAGCTAATCATTAATCTTGTGAAAAATGGTTTTTTAATAGAAAAATTCTCCTTTTTAGAAAAGGGCCCATATTGTCGATTTTTTTAGTACTTAAGTACGAAATTTTTGAAAATTAAGAGGGGGGATGGTTTTAAAAATTTATAACCTGTTGGTTTTATAATCTTCAAGGTGCCCTGAACTGGAAACAATTCTTATCTGAATAACTTCCAAGAAGAACCAAAGATACAACAATTAGTTGATATCGCAATCTTTAATTCTGTTTTTCTCGAAATGAGGTTTGTGGCGTTCTAAACTTTGAAATTTCGTAACTCAGCGAATTTTTAACCAAAAAACATAACATATGTGGACGTCCACATGAAAAGGGCCCATTTTGGCTCTATTGGAGTTATCTATATGGGCGTATTCCTGGCAAAATTTGGAAAATTTTGAGTGGTCTTAGAACTTTTTTGGTTAAAAATTCGCTGAGTTACGAAATTTTAAAGTTTAGAACGCCACAAACCTCATTTCGAGAAAAACGGAATTAAAAATTGCGATATCAACTAATTGTTGTATCTTTGGTTCTTCTTGGAAGTTATTCAGATAAGAATTGTTTCCAGTTCAGGGCACCTTGAAGATATAAAACCAACAGGTTTTAAATTTTTAAAACCATCCCCCCTCTTAATTTTGAAAATACGAAAAATCGACAATATAGGCCCTTTTCTAAAAAGGACAGTTTTTCTATTAAAAAACAAATTTTTTACAAGATTAATGATTAGGTACAATTGTATAGTGTCATTTGAAGAAAAAGAATAGAAATTAAACTTATTTAAAATTTTTTGACAGTCTCTATTATAAAAAAAATAACGCAATATCCAAATTTTCATTTCGACAATTACAAAAAAAAGACTCTAACATCAATATCGCTGGTTCTTCTGGGAAGTTATTCAGATAAGAATTGTTCACAGTCCAGGACACCTTAACCCGTTGCCTGTTTCCGACCCACGGGTGGGTCGTGAAAAAGTATGGCCATAACTGTTTCCGACTCACCCGTGGGTCGTGTTCACTATCACTCAAAATAAATATAATTTGTAAATAAATTGATAGATATTTTTCTTTATATCAATATTATAAGAAATTATGAGGGTCATTAATGATATTTTAGAAAATAATTGAATAATTAGTTATAATTTAAATATATTATACTATTTGAAAAAGTATCAGATTCCGCTGGGCAGTTTGGGACAATCATGTTGTATTTTCCTGAAACAGTTAAGGGGTTATAGATGAAAAATCAAGATGTTTTAAATTTTTCCACACCTCTATTTTTAAAATACGGATTACTTTTGAAAATAACCGACAAAATGGACCCTTTTCATTTTTCTAAAGAACCAATGAAATCAAACAGTTAAATTATCGATAAATTAATGAAAACCGCATGATTCGACTTGTCAAAACATGTAGATTGATAAGAAAAATTAAGATTTTCCTCAAAAATTACTAAATTGCGATTATCTCGAAAACTAGAACCGACAATATGGGCCCTTTTCATGTGGACGTCCACAATATATACTAGTAAATTATACTAATAAAAAATATTTTTGCAAAATTCCAATGGAATATTCCTACAATATTTTAATGGAATATTTCATTCCATATTTAAATTTTCTACTTTTTCAGTTTAAAACAAATTAATAATTTATTGAAATCTATATTGTCACTATCTTGACATTATTTTACCGCAATATAGCCACTATCTTTCCATTATTTTGACGCAATATTGTCACTACCTTGCCTTATATTGTAAAAATATAGCATCTATATTTTCACTACAATGCCATTATTTTACCAAAATTATTGTGCCGCAATATTGGTACTATCTTGCCTTACATTATAATAATATTTCCATTACTTTGCCAAAATATAGCTTCCACATTGTCACTACAATGCCATTATTTTACCAAAATGTAGCTGCTATTTTGCCATTATTTTGTCGCAATATTGGTACTATCTTGCCTTATATTATAATAATATTGACATTTTTTGCCAAGATATAGCTTTTATATTGTCACTATGGAGCCGTACACACAATACGTCACGTGATTTTTAACCATTTTAGACCCTCCCTCCCCCATGTCACACACTGTCTCATACATTAGCGCCATTTTTTCTATAGGTCGTCACAAATGTCTAGACTCCCCTTCCTCTGTTCGCGTGACGTATTATGTGTACGACCCCTATCTTGCCGAGATCTTGCCATTATTTTACCGCAATATAGCCACTATCTTTCCATTATTTTGCCGCAATATTGTCACTATCTTACCTTATATTGTAAAAATATTGCCATTATTTTGCAAAAACATAGCATCTATATTTACGGAGAAAAATGGATATTTAAGGTAAATATCTAGATGTTAAAGTTTAATATTTTTATTCTTTAACATAGGGACAGCTATCTAGATATTAAAAGTAAATAGCTGGATGTTAAGCGTTAATATTTAGCATGTGATTTGAATATCTAGATATTAAAGTTTAATATTTTTGATGTTAAGAGTTAATATATATGACGCGCTCCCAAGAAAGGTACCTAAGAAGCAAACGAATTATAGGTTGGGTTCGAGTTAGATTTATCTTGATTAAAAGTTCATTTTTAATTATTTGAATTGGAAACCAATATTCATTTAATATTTTGAATATAATGAAGACTTGAAAACAAACAATTTTTAATTAATAATTGATTCTCTTTCTGTATTTTTACTCAAAAAATTTTAAACATAACCTCAAATTTTGTGCTTCTTAGGTACCTTTCTTGGGAGCGCGTCACATATTTTTTCAATATCTACTTTTGAATATCCAGTTTTATCCGTATTTTCACTACATTGTCATTATTTTACCAAAATATAGCCACTATCTTACCATTATTTTGCCGCAATATTTTCATTGACTTGCCTTATATTGTTATAATATTGCCATTATTTTGCCGCAATATATTCACTATCTTGCCTACATATTACAATAATATTGTAACTATTTTGCCGATGTTAATATAGCTGTATACAGAAACTACGCAGCCATTATATTGCCCTAATTTCTAATTGCAATGGAATATTCCAGGATTGCGAATAGAATATTCCGTACACTATTGTTATGAATTAGTAAAAAAATTACTAATCTAAAGTTAGAGAGTTGAGGAAACATTTTTGACATAGTCAATTAATTTATAAGAAAAATTAAAAATCTAAAAAATATGTTTAATTTATCGCTAATTAGGAAAATGTATGTGTACCTTGATGAAAGCTCGCAGAGTGAAATTTGTGAGATCGGCGTTGAGCGTAAATTCGTAACTGGGTTTATCGAAAATTGGAGCATTGTCATTGACGTCTAATAAGTTAACGATGAAGGGAACGACGCCTCTGAGACCCCTGCCAACTTCGTCTCGTGCCTCAACCGACAATTGCAGTTGGGGAGTCCTTTCTCGATCGAGTTTATTCCCCATAGCGACGGATATTAAGCCGCTATTGGGATCCATTGTAAACGCTTCACTACCAGTTCCCGTTATGCCCGTATACTGTATCATTCCATACAATCCTGAATCCTTATCAGTTGCATGTACCTAAACATCGTCAATAAAATAGATTTATATACATATTCGAACCAAATTGTTAAACGATAAATGTAATCAAACTTTTTCACCATATGGTTCATGATAATAATTCCTTCCTCCACTAAATTATCCCCCTCCCCCTCGTCCATACCGTTCACTTTCGTTTTCACTTTCAAAATTTATAGCTTAATTCATTTCTTTTATTACCGTTTCTTTAATACATTCATTTTAAAAAAATTTGCAAAATGGCCGGTTTCCAACAAATTTTAATAAAAGGGACATAAATTGTAAAAAATATACTTGGTTTTTGATTTTTTACTCTCCAAACCCTTTTAAATTTCAAAAATTTGACTTCAGATTCGTAATCAGCAACCCTGAAAACTCCCGAGTAACAAATTTTATGCAAATTTGAGCAATTTTGAATAAAATGTCCGCCATATTGGATCCGCCATTTTGAATTTTGAAAATCTGACTTTAAATTCGTAATCAGCGACCCCAAAAACCCCCGACTAACACGTTTCAATAAAATCCACTAGCTGGATCCACTAGCTAAAGGGTTAAATTAAAAAAAAATAATTAAAGAAAAAATTAGTTATAATTGTACTAAAACCTATATTATAATAGTATTATTAATCTTTATTAAGAATATCAGACTTATGGACAGTACGTAGTATATATAAAAATACAACGAACATTGTGATTATTAAATGGAAATTATGACAATTTTTTTTATTTATTCCCAAAATCAGAATTTTTTTAAAAATCGTCATTAAAAAAAATTAGGGTAAGTGCACTAGTTCCTGCGGCATTTCAGCCAAGGTATCTTTTGCAAAAAAAATATTTAAAACAAAGGAATTAAATTTAAAATTTATTAAACTAATTGTTTGTATTCTTAAGAAATTTTTACAAAAATTAATAGCCTATAAAATATTATAGCATTTGATAAAATTTAAATAATTAAAAAAAATATCAAAAGCGTCTAATTCTGCGCGCTGTGTCAATTGCTGCGCATCAGTTTCTGCGGCCAAAATAACATGCATTTAGATGTCATTTTGCCCGCAGCAACTAAAGCACATGCATTTGACATGCATGCTTCAGTTTCTGTGGCAAGCATAATTTAAAGTTAAATAATTAAAGTAATTTTATTTTAAATGTATATTCTTTATAGTCAATTGTATCAAGTATTGTTCAAAATAATTTTTTCACAGTTTTTTAAACATTAATATTTTCTTATGTGACAAATAATTATACATTTCACAAACGCGCAGCAATTGAAGCATCGGCAGCAATTGATGCACTTACCTTATATAAATTTTCTTAGCTTTCTGTTAATAATATTTAACATATTGTTAAATAATTTTCGAATTTTTTTAGAAATAACAAAACTTTTATTTTTTTACATTCTCATCGCATGAGAAGGTATTAGTTTTTTTATAAAAGTTTTTATCAAACTTTTTTGAGAATTTTCAAATCCATTTGTTTACAATTAAATTTAACGAAATTTCAAATATTCGGAACTTAAAATCTTCCATACACTTATGAGTGCTTCGGTGATACAGTTCAACACAGAAAAACCTTACTATGAAAGAGTGATTCGACCATGCTGTGATTACACCATGACGCACAAGAAAAACTAATTTTTTTAGCAAATTATTATCGATTTCAAAAATTATTTTTTTCCACGTCTTTTGTTTTCACTAACCCAGACTACAAAACTTGTTTTGACGTAAAATATGAATAATTATTCATTTTATTGCAAATATATTATGATTCGACCATGACGATTCTGTGATTCCCTATGCAACTTTCATGCTTGTAACACATATAAAACAGAAAAAAAAATTTTTAATTAGTTTCTCTTTTAATAATTTACTTAGGAGAGTTTATTGCTGTTTTTTATGAATGTTAAGTAATTTTTCGATTTGATTTTCTATATAAATTATGCAATTTTACAAAGTGATTTTACCATGACGCGAAAACTGGGGACAAAAATACAGTAGGATCTTTCAATAGTGCAGTCGTCGGGAATATTGTGCACTGTTCGAAGCGTGCAAAAACTAAAACATTCAGGTCCGTGTCAAGAAAATTAAGGGTCCCCCACTACTAAATACCGGGCACCACTAAATAATACTAAATAATCAAATGAGCGACGGCACTGTATTTGACATCACAGATTCCCTTTCCCTTTACCCCCCGAAACCCCTTGTCTACTCAACTCATTAATGACTGCACTGTTCAGAACTGCACTATTGAAAGATCCTACTGTAACTACAAAAATATTAAAAAATAAATTTTTCTTTTCACAAGTGTTTTGTTTTTCTAATTTCCACTAACATAGGAAAAAATAAAATAAAACTTAATTTACAAAATGGTAGTAGGGACTGATTACACTATGACGTTTTGGCACCTTGAAACAGATTTTTAAGCAAAATTATAAACTTTTGAATAAAAACAACTATAGACTTTTATTTGTCATCATAAAAATTACTATTCCCCATTAGACTTATTACAATATATGAAACTGATTTCTTATAAAACATGAGGGACATTAAATTGTGCGCTACACGGAGAATCACCCAATCAAATTAGAAAATAAAAACTTGAAATAATTTCAAAAAAAATTTCAATTACATAACGTTTTACAAACAAATTAATAAAAGTATGAAAAATTCAGATTTTTAAAGATTTTAATTTAAAATATTTTCAAAATTCAATTATTTCTAGAAATTTACGCTATAATGCTTTTAATATTCAATTATTATCTAAAATTTCAACTGAAATTCATTTCTAAATCCATTTTTATTAGAAAATTCTAAGAGAATTCAGTTATTTAAATACAAAAATAAATAATTTATTGAATAATTGAATGTTTCTCAAAATTGAATTCTTGTAAAGAATTTTATCAACAATATTTTAAATAATTCAATTCTTTTGACGAATTTTAATTTAACATTTATAAAATAAAGTTCATTCGTCTTAATATAAAGAATAAAATTCTCTTATACAGTAATATGAATCTAAATAAACAAAAAAATTTTTAGTAAAAAAGTGAATTGTTTAACTTAAATTGTAATTAATTCTATAATTTCCAATAGAATATATACTTTATATACATCAATCGATTCGTCTTGATGCAAAGAATAAGATTTTTTATTTATTTTTTAATAAATAATAACATTTTATTGTACAGCAACATGATTTTTAAGAAACAATTAATTTTTATTAAAAGTGCAAATTTTTTGTCTAAAATTGGTTTTAATTCTATAAAATTTAAAAAAAAAAATTTTTTTTGAAAAAAGTAAAAAAAAAATTTTTTTCTGAGAATTTTTTAAAGTCTATTAATCTATTTCGAGATATTTTTATCATAAATATATCTGGTAAATTTTAGCCAAATTCGTTAAAACCTCTTCGAGTTATCGTGTTCACAAAAATCGGGATCCACACACTCACACACACATACATAGATCCGGACAATTGTTCACAGGGTCTTATATAACATAGTCCTATATAGAAGAAAATTTGTTAAAAGGATTTTTAAAATTTTTGTAAATTAAACGACTACAAAGCTTTCTCACGAGGAAGCAATAATTAAATTCCTCAAAATAATTTTATTATTTATAAAAATAATTGAATCTCTGTAAAAAATTTTAATATTTCTGAAAATAATTGAAATACTGCTAAAAATTTTATAAAAAAAATTTAAATACAGGAAAGCGGGGTTGAAAGTGACGATTTCGACCAAATGAAAGAAAATAATAGTAAAATAACAACTATTTGATTTTATTTATTGCAGTATTTTGTGTAGTTTTTGAATTCATTTATACTTTTTGAAAATGTTAATAGTTTCCAATGAAAATGTGATTTTCTGCAGCGCGGCGACGCGTCCCGACGACCCTTACTGCGGGGCCGGTTGTGCCGCATGAAGTCTTAACTAACTACCTACAGTAAATAATTTTGCGCATAAGAAATAATAAAATAATTAACAAATATTATTTATTATTGTATTTTAATTATTTATTATAAACATTTAAACATTTTTTCGAACAATTTTTGTCTTTCAGACATTTTGGTACCATTTTTAGTGGGTATAAATAAACATTTTTGAACTTAAATACTATAATACTGTTCATTATTATTTTAATACAGTTTTCTTAATAAAATATTGTATATTAATGTTTATAAAAAATATATAAAATTAACTATTTAATAAAAAATTCTTAAAATGTATAAAATAAAATACTTATTCTGAAATAATACTTACCTACAAACAGGTTTCACATGGCACAATGAACACATGTGTAACTAGCGTTTTCTTGTTTTTAGTGCATTTTAAGTGTGCACAATTTTTGCAATTAATGCATTGAATCTACTTTTCTCTTAGCTTTGAATTTGAATAATTATCAGAACAAACGAGACAATAACATTCTGATACATCTTCGCTCTTATTTATTTCGTCTAGCAAAATTTTCTTTTAGCTGGATTTTCAGAAGCATTATTTTCTTTCTTACTTTTTTCTCTTTAGAGCTACTTTTTTCTAATTTTCTTCCTTTACAGTGTGCCTGTTCTTCAGCAAGTTCATTTTTTCAGGAGTGTCAGTGAGAACAGCTGTTTTTCTGATGTGTCGTTTTCTTGTTGTTGCTGATAGAGCCGGTGCTTTAGGAAATGGTCTAATAATCTCCGGTGAAAATATTACAGCATTTTTAGGTGGTTGACATTGGGTATCATCATCAGAAGTATATTCAGATTCAATCTGAAATTGAAACATTCTGAAGTCTAGGCACTTGAGAACTTGAAATTTGGTTAGAATTAGAAGTAAAATGCTTTTGCTGAATACCAGATGAGCCGGGTTCATTGTTGGGATTTGCAACTGAAAGTTGATTTTCTTGATGTGGTCGATCAATGACAAAAGAAGGTGCAAACTCTTCGTCATAAAAATGTTCGGGTTATAGGTCCATATTCCAGACTTTTGAAACGCATTGATTGGGATTGTTTCGAATCCAGGTATTTTG